ATTTATATATATTTATTATACTGACCTTTCAGCAATGTCTGGCTAACAATACAGAAGTTACAATGATGTGGCACACATGCACTTACATTACCGTATCCAATAATATAAAACTGACCTTTAGTCTTTAAAAAGTGACCTGTCTTGGCTGTGTTTTAGTAGATTAATATTTTGTAAAATACAGTCACATTTCAATTATTATACATTGTATATAGATCACTATTATTTACAAATAAGTTCTTAAACTTATTTTTTCTTAAAACATAGAACAGTAAATGAAGTAAATCAAACAATTATCTCTTTTAGTTATGACCTTTGTACTCAGTTGCTGCTTGACAAGGTTGCTAAGCCTGTTAAAAAAGCTAAGAATGTCACTAGGGGGACATTCTGAGCTTTTGATCGGTTATTCATGTCATATATATAGAAGTAAGTATATATAAGGGAGTGTTTCCAAAATTGGAAAGAGGTGAGCAGGGCCACTGTGTTTGATTCAGTACATGAGCAATATCTTGCCAAATAGAAAATATATAAGGTTCTTATTTTATATTCTAGCTTGTCAATATTGGTAATTTGAGTTCCTAATTTGTATGAAACTATAGACTTAGTATTTTGACATCAAAAACATCTAACATGAACTAGTGCTGCATTCAAAATACCACATGACATACAAATCGATGTTTAACTGTTGTTTTTTTAATATTTACTTTTAAATTAAGAAATTGAGTAATGTATAATACTAAAATTTGAATTATAATCTACAGTTTAATACCAAACTTATTGACATAAATTCAGGAAATAGAAGTTCAATAAAATTTTGCATGCCAGTCAACAAACGCGTTGACATGGCGTTTCACCCGTGACCAGTCTGGAAAGGGTTAAGCAATGAATCTTTGATAAAGCTGCAAAACCTGTAAATGCATTACCTCACCAAGAAAGACAAGTTACCACAGGAGCTTATTTTCTAAAAATAATTCACTATTCTTTTTCTTTGTCTTACAATGAAATTAGATGTATGCTTTTAAACCCCTCAAAGGTTTTAAAAAACACATAGATTAAAATTGTAGTAAGTTAAAAAAATCTTAGACAAAATAGAGTACAAGAATGCTACTAAAAGTTACTGCTCAAAATATCTAAATATAAAATACATAGAAACTATGCCAAAAAAATATTTCATAGCATTTGATCCATATTAAGTGAAATTTTGTTGCCAACTGCACTTCAATCTGTTTCCTATAAATTACCAAATCTGTACATTAAATATAAATAATGATAGTTTTATATCATAATTCTTACCAAAACGTGCCACACATTTTCATTTGCTCCTTCAAAAGAACAGAATCTTATACTGACTCCTAGTAAACCCTGTCCTCCCCACATGTTGGAAGGAACTATTTCTACATCTCGGATGTTCTGTGTTTTACTACTGTACACGGTCATGGTAACTGGTCGTTCAACATTGGCCTTGAGAATTTCTTTCAAAGAGTCATTGTCTTGATTCTGAAAGCAAAACATTCACAGATTCAGAGGGAAATATACTGATGTAAACAATATACAAAAACATGTCTAAAATTATTTTTACACTCCAAAATGAATGTTTTGAAATTTAAGTTCTATAAATGTCAAGAATACAGTAGCATCTTCCAACTTCTGAGGCACACTAAATGACATTAATACATCTTCTTTTAAACAACAACAAAGTTTGCCATTAACCCATAACTAACAGATAAGCTAATATAATGAAACCTAAAAGCCAGCACAAATCATGTTGATAATAAACCTCTAGTCTTGTTGACTATTTTGAGAAAAGTTTCATTAATTTAACATAATAGTACTAAATCAATTTCAAATATTAATACCTTCATAGGTTTTAACCAAAGAGAACACTTTGGTATTACCAAACATCATCCATTATTGAATATTAAAAGCATAACAAATAGGTATACTTTCATGACTGATCATACAATTCAGTTTATTCTTTTTCTGAATAATAAGTGCCACATGTAAACTTTGGCCCCTAAAGCATAGACAAACTGACTACAGAAATGAACATCATTATTTATTTTATCATCAGCAACAAATTAATTAAAACAATATATTTTCAGACACATTGTGTAAAGGAAAAAAAAAAAAAAAAGAGTAAAAAACCAAAATCACATTTAGTTAGTCTATATTAAACTCCAACTGCTAATGGAGCAAACACATGCCAAGCTGATCATGGTAACCATGTTACTCAACAATATAATAGAGATTTTATCTTTCATTGTGCCAAAAAAAAATGTGTTTTGATTTTTTTTGCTCTTAATAATTAAAACATTTTGAGTCCTAGTACATCATCACTATTTAATTGAAAATTAATTAATAAAAACAAAAGTTAAAGGAATGCAGTTCAAACTATAACAATATAATGAAGTGTTGCATAATATGTGGAAATTATATTAGAGAGTATATTGCAAATAGAGTTGGTCAATTACTTTGATTATTCAATTAACTATAATTATTTTTCTTTATTCCAACTATTCAAGTAAGTAAAATACTGCCATTATGATTTTCATTACTATTTTTTGATTAATTCAAGGTAGATTAGCTTAATCAATTAATATAACAACTCACGAAAATATTCAACTAACTGAAATTAGTGTTTCCAATTTATAATCTTTTCAGTTATTTTAGCTATCTAAGTCTTATGTGAGGATGGTTGACTAGACAAATGCAATTGATTAATGAGCCTAAAATTTAATTGATTATCAAATTCCACTAATTGCCAGCTCTATTGGTAAAACACATTATTATATAGAATAGTAACAGAAATAAATATTTCTACACTAAAATTATGATACAATTAAGAGAGTTTTGTTTCTCATAAATATGTCAATGAAAATTCAAAGATAATCTAAATATACATTTTAAACTATCCTGTTGTCTGTAATGAACTAAAATGAGTATTATAAAAAGCGATATGCAACTTAAAACAATTCAAGAAATTGCAAGATTTTAATGTAGAGGTTAAAAAGATTTAAATTTGAAGTAACTGTGTTATTTAAAGTTAGGGATTTTTTCTTTTATGAGAAGTTTCTTTGATCAACCTATTTAGCCAAATATATATATAACAAAGTGCATGTTAAAAATAATGTAGCAAAATATAACTAATTACAGTTTCATATTTTATTTTAAAATATTTATTATTGACAATTCTGCTCATAACTAAAAGAACTACATCACCGTAAGAAATAGACATTAAGCATAATTGTTTAAAACAATTTATAGATTATAAGCATATGATTTATATATAAAAAAAAAACTACAAAACATGAAAACATTTGCAATTGTTCATATCACAAAATGAAACATGACCATTAATATCAAGTCAAAAGAAACTGACAGTCATCTGAACAATGTGATGTGCATTGTATAAACAGAAAGAAACGTGCAGCAGTTTTATTTAAACTGCCCTATACCTTACACTGTATCTCCTAATTTGGATTTAATCCCTTTAGTACCTAGGACTTGCAATTAATCTGTAGCACTTAATCATGGTATATGATGTGTATGAAAAATGTTCACATTCACAAACTTAAGTACACTTCTTTTTATGAAAACATATTTGCAACCCTATTATTGTACATAGAAAAGAAACATAATTCTAATTTTATTTTAATATAATATAGTGACAGAATAATCACAATACACTTTGACCACTTTTCATCAAAAAGAAAGTCTACTGCTATAAAATAAATGGATATTTTCACATAACTTGTTTGCAAAATATTTTTAATTTGTAAATGAAATAACATAAAAATTGAAATGAATTCAAAAACAAAAACTATACTACTATTTGAAACATTTACGTAAATTTATGAGAATGTTATATTTAACAATATTGCTTAATATACAAGTACCACTCTCTGCATTAGAAATGAAACATGAAGAAAAATGTATGAAACTTTATTGCTTGGCAACACTATTTAACAATTGATTGTATAAATGAAAGGAAATTATATACAAGCTATGTATACTGCTTATGTAAACACATGCATACATTTACAAGAATGTTTTCTTTAATAACATTGTACACAATTTGAGTATTGTTTCAAAATACAATAAGAAGATAAATAAAAAGTATTTATGTTGTTTCAATAAATATATGCATACATTTATGAAACACTCTTTCCAAACTTTATTCATTCAAAGCATGAGATTTTTGTGTATAGAAATTTCCAATTACCATGATCATACTCTTGATGTTACAGAATAATGCCAGTCTTTAACCATGAAAGCTATAAACAATTTGATATATATAAGAAATCACTTGTCTTCAACTTGCTTAGGAATTTCCCTGTTTCTCAAACTATTAAACATATCTTTCTGACAGAGGGATTTATGAATAATTACACCTTCCACTGACTTTAACACAAATGCCACCTTGTTTATGGTTCTGGTGAGGTGAAAGAATGATTAAGAAAAGCTCAACAGTTACCTAACATTGTTTATTACTGATAGGCCTAAAACACACATGCATGCACAAAATAAAATGTTAGAAATTAAATATATATCAACTTTTCAGTTTTTTTTTTACTTAAGATTTTTATTAATTAATCTTGTTTATGATAAAAGCACATCAATACAGATTTAAACAACACTGACAACAGAATACATATTTCGATATATGAATTGTATTAAAACTAGTTTTTCAGATATTTTAATTTCTATAATTAACATTTTTGAAATATAACAATTTTTCTGGTCATTTGTCTTTCTAATTATATAAAAGTGACAAATATATATTTATTCACAAAAACACGGTACAGTTCTTATATTTTATTTTACTATCAAACCAAAAACAATGTCCCCAATTCCACAACTTGCATAATTATGTATATTAAAGTATCTTACTAATCTTGTTTTTCCTATTGCCACAATAAAATCAAAAAATGATTCTAAACCAGCTTTTTCCCCTGGTGAGTTCTCTTGAACCTGTAAAAACAAAAACAAAAAACAAACATGAGTACAATTTAAGTTACAAATAGTTTGCATGTTTCAGAAATGTTATTCATAAGGAAAAAAAAATCTAAAAAATTACATTATGTTGGGATAATTTGCTGCTAGTTTTCAATAGCCTAAACCCTAACATCATAACATTACTATTTATATTTTTAACTACTGTGAATAGGCCCAAAAGGTATTTTGTTTATAATTTCTGCAAACTATATTTTAACACTAAAGTACTCTGAATGTAATTTGCAAAATCATTTAACAAAGTTTAGAACTTTATTTGATAGTAACCATGGTTTCACTAAGGGAAAATCTTGCCTTACAAATCTTTTGGATAGAAGAGTGGCTTCATAGAAGAAAGCAGAGGGTTGTTACAAATGGAGTGCAGTCAAATTGGATTAATGTTACAAGTAGGATACCTCAGGGCTCAGTATTAGGACCTTTGCTCTTTTTTTACATCAATGACATAGATGAAGGAATAGTCGTTACTTAAAGTTGCAGATGATATTAAGGTGTAGCTAGCTGTGAAGAGGATGTTGCTGATTTACAAATTTTACATAATTTAGTAAGTTGGGCAAATAAATGGCAGATGGGTTTTAATTTTAATAAATGCAAGATAATGCATGTGGGTTATCATAATTTGAATTATAAGTATAACTTGGATGAGAATAACTTTAACAATGTTATGAAAGAAAAGGATCTTGGTGTAATAGTCAATCAGTCTCTAAAGCCATTCAAGCAGTGTGCTGTTGATCCAAACAGTGTGCTCTCAAAAAGCTCAAAAGCATACAAGTTTACTTTGTTTTATTTATTATCCTATGATACTGCACTCCTAATACTATTTTGATTTATCCCCTTGAACTTAGTTTTGTCTGCTTAATACAGTATGTTTTGTTGACAAGCCTCTTCAGATTCCATGTGTTTGTACTGCTGTCCACTAACGTGTCTGAAATCACTAGTCATTTTTCCTTTAATCAATTATTTCAAAAACAAAAAAGCATTAAAGTTTCAGAATATATGCTTACATATACATCTAAAGATCAACTGGTAAAACTGGAGGTCAAATCAGTTAAAACTTTACTTTTTTGTGTGTTAAGAGATGGATTGAGTTTCATTCAAATCTTCTGAAATAACAGATTAGTCTCAAAGCAAACAACTCAACAGATACATACATTTGTACTATAAATCTTAGTCCACTGTTCATCAGTGCACAAACAGTGTGACTTACCTGCTATAGTAAAATAACTCACTTCTAATTATTAAAATGAAGAAAAATAATTATTTAATGCAAGATGATAAGATTCTATTAATGGCTTATTCAGTGTTCTATGGTAAGATGAAAAATTTCATGCCTCTTGCACAAGTAAACAAGATCTAACCCTTAAACAACACTATTCTGATTTTTAAAAGTACATTTATGCTGAGTGCTACACAAAGATGTCTTAAAACACACCTACAAATCTAAACAATTTTGGTGAAAATATGCATGATAAAGAAATTCTCATTTATTACATGACGAACCTTCTTTGTGTAAAATCCATGATGGCAGGACTTTTTTTTAATAAATGAGAAAATTTTCAAATAATGTTAGTTACTTTCACACTAACTATTAAACATATAATTATGGGGTTTTCCACTGGAAATATCTGATAGTGATACATGATTTAATGTATTTGTTTAGCCAATATATGATTTTACAAAAATTGCAATAAAACATATACTGTATAAAATCATTTTAGTTACAGTTCAATTAATTGTATAGAAAATATTAGAGTGGCTCTTCTTACTGTTGAGTTAATGACTAATAATTTGGACATACATAAAAATTGAAAATGAAACAAGCTCATTCCTTATCTTTACTAAGTAATAGTACTATACTAATATATCATCTATAAAAAAACTTACATTGTTAATGCCAGTCAAAACATTAATCCTAATCTGATTTTAATACTGATTACGGTAATCTTAATCTTATATATGTTAATATTAAAATCACTTCAATATTTTATAAATTGGTTATAGTAGTGTTACTGTTACTAGTGTTAGCACTGCAAATCTATAGATAATTCAATATCGGATTATCGGAAATGCTTGACACCTCGTGACAGGTGGATTATGGTCCTATACAATGAATATTGTGACAAAGATTGAAATAATATTATCTATTACTAGTAGTAGTAATATTAACTAGTACACGGCAGTACGCCTACACGTCCTGATTTGATACGTAAGTATAACTGAGCGTTTCACTTACACTATTAGTAGTATTACAGTGTTACGTTAGTTAATTAATATTAACAGAGCATACTACTACTACTAGAAGTTAGAACTAAGGTTAATATTAGCTACCACTAAGCCTAACTTTTGGCTTACTTAACGTTCTCACCCTGAGGACATGATATCCTTCTGTTCCTCCTCCAGGCACTGGTGAGCTCTGCGTTCCCCCCATATTTGTTTAAAAAGCAGTAATAAGACAGATAATATCACTACTGGTATAAAACAGACTAAATCTCTATCACTAATTACGTGGCAACTTAACAGCCATCTCTGTCTTTAAACTGCCCTCTTCCGTCAGTGAATTTGGGATTTTTTTTCTTTTTATCTGTATATACTACTACTAATATTACAATTAACGACTATATTTAATATAAATTAATAGCGTAATTGTACTATTAAGATATGTAATATCGGGGGAAATGTATACATATTCATGTAATTAATGTAATTAGTAAATATAAAGCGCATATATTGTTTAAAAAATGAACCAGCAAATAATTAAAGGAAACTACTTAACAAAAGAAATGAAAAGGAGACTATTAAACGGTTTTGACTGTATTTTAAAGAGAGTTTCGAAATAAAATATAATTGATTTCTTAAGTTAAAATAAAAATGTTTATAGCGACAGTTGCAACTGAGTATATTTATTGCACAGATAACAACAAACTCTGTCAAACAAAAATACTTCTAATACTGAGAAATATATGTTAACATATTTTTTTCTTTTTCAGACAACCAAACTAATTGAGATTGATAAAGACTAATACTGGCAAATACAAGCTCAAATAGACAAAATATATTCGACGGGAATCGAAGTTTAATGATTAACAGTAGAACGATGACAAGAACAACGAACATTTGACACAAGTGTGTACAGTAATAAACATTTAATTTTTGAACGTTTCGGAATATACATATTTCATTTTCAGTAAGCTATATTGAACAGGGTAAAATATTAGGTACAAAAATTTATAAAGCTCAAACATTTTATAAAGAGTAATTAGAATAAAGAACAAAATAATATAATAAATTAAAATAAAAACAAACAATTGTAACAATATTATACAAGTATTCAGAACAGACTTAATTGTAGGGAAGCTGTGTTATTATTTAAAGTTGGGAGTTCATTTATAATACATAAACTTTATTTAATGAAAAGTTCAATATTGGATGATCCAGATGAGATGACTTTGAAATTTGTAATCAAGATGGAGTGGTTGTTGTTTTCACTATTTGTGCGAATTGTGGAGTCTGGTGGATTTGATATTTTTTTTACCAGTTCTACTTGATACTCCCATAAATTCGCAGGTGTAATTTGCGTCGAGTTTTGACAATGTAAGTGGCATTACAGCCAACACGTGTATTTACACACGATCCTGGAACGCATAGGGGTAGGTAATAGGTCTTTATATCTGAGTAGATTTTGTATTTTGAAAGGTGATTTAAATATAATTTGTAATTGAAATTGTAGATATGATAATTCGTAGTTGAACTACAAATGGTATTTAAATCACCTTTCAAAATACAATATATAATCAGACCTATTACCTACCTTTATGCGTTCCAGGATTGTGCGGTGGCTGTAATGCTACTTTCATTGGAAAAACTCTACGCTAATTACACCTGCGAACATATGGGAGTATCAAGCAAAACTGGTAAAAAAATATCAAATCCACCAGACTCCACAATTCGCACACGTATCGAAAACAACAACCACCCATCTTGATTACTAATTTCAAAGTCATTTCATCTGGATCATTCAGTATCCCCCCCCCCCAGTGGCACAGCGGTATGTCTGCGGACTTACAACGCAAGAATCTGGGTTTCGATACCCGTGGTGGGCAGAGATCAGATAGCCCATTGTGTAGCTTTGTGCTTAATTACAATTACAAACAATCATCCAGTATTTTACTCTTTTATTCTTTATTTTAATTACTCTTTATAAAATGTTTGAGCGTTATAAATTTTTGTACCTAATGTTTTACCCTGTTCAATATAGCTTATTGAAAATGGAATATGTATATTCCGAAACGTTCAAGAATTAAATGTTTGTTACTGTACACACACTGTCAAATGTTCATTGTTCTTGCTGTTGTTCTACTGTTCACCTAATAGAACTTGCTGCATACTAATTTAGTCTTCACATGGAAATAAGTATTTTAATTCTTGCAGTAATTTGTGTTTTCTTTAAAATCAAACAAGTTAAAAATCGAAAATGACAAATTTCAAATACTGCTTATTACTGACGAGAGCTTTAGATGAAACATTGCAATTCCAAAGATAAAAATTGTTTCTTTTACCTCCGATTGTGTTAGTAGATTGTAGCGCTACCTGGATGAGCACCTAAAACTTGAGCTCATTTGGTGTTTTAAGATGCATTTAGAAAAATAAAATTATTTATAAAAATGTAGGAGTTTCTAATTATAGAAAAATAAGCCGTTTAAAGTGTTAGAAATTATGAACAGTTTAAATATCCTCTGGTATTATGTTCAAGCACAGCGTTTTGCTTTAGATAATCGTAAGCTTTCATCACCTGTTTTGTTCCTATTTCATCATTACGGCTCTAGTTCGAATACACATCTGTCTCTCAACCCACATTTCATCCTTTGTTTTAACTAAATAGCCTAGTGCATGAATCAATATCTTTTGGCACGAGGTATTCATAGGTATAAGACCACAAATCAAATGATTTAACATAACAAATAGGCAAGAAGAAATCATTTGCGCCTCCAAGGCTCTCCTTGCACCCTCCACCCTTGAGAAAAATAAAAATTCGAACTCCCCCTTTACTTTTCAGGGAATCATCGATTCCTTTCTTCAGCTTTTGTGAAGTGTTGACTTCCACTACTGTTGACGGCAACTCAATCTATAAACTTATGATATTTTCAAGTAAAATTGATTTTTTCACAAGTATCTGTTAGATCTGCTAATAACAGAAAGATCGATTAGGAAATTTGGGAGTGCTCTAAATTTAAAACTTGAATAAGTTTTCTTTATGAAAAATAAAAAGACTGCACAAGTTTGAAAACTTGAACACAATCTTTATTATAATTGAGCACAAAGAGACGCAGCATAGGTACTTGTGCAAATAAGTGGGCACTCACTTCTGCAGGATTTGAGTATACCGTCCACTTTTCGTCTTGGAGGTGAATTTCTGGAAAATTAGTCACGATCAGAGGCCAGGTAGAACTAAGAACAAATAGTTACTTCGATTTAGGAAGAAAGCTCGTATTCTTTATCTTCCGAGGGCGTAATCACGTAACTGATGCTCTCTCTCTCAGCATTCGTTGACTGTAACATACCGACGTCATCAACTCAGCCAGCAAAGGACGTTGCGGCCATTGACTCATCTAAAACTTAAACGTCAATATCCTCTCGAGTATAATAGATACTATATATTACATAGAACAAAGAAACTAAAACACAGCAACTTCAACGTTTTCTGGACTGTGTATTTATGTTGAAACAGCATAAAAATAAGTGAACAAAATTTTTTACAAATACCTGTATCACTAAAAGCAGGGAGAAAACATGTGATGTGTCTGTATATCACAAGCTAATCATCCAGTTTGAAAAATAAAACTATATTTACAGAAACCTAGCCTGTTTTTTTTTTGCAATTTTAAACCTTTGTTTTTCCATCCTGTTGTCTTCAGAATACAGCACACACACACACACACACACACAAATCAGAGGGATTTATCTCATCGACTCCTCCGGATAATCTTGTAAACTTGAATAAGATCATCCCAATAGTAAACAAGTTAAGAGATTTTAAACTAGGTATCTTTATAAGACAACCCTTCCATCAGCGGAACTATCCTATTTGTTCTTCTTTGAATCCTTTCCAATAAGTTAATATCTCTTTTTTTAGGTAAGCGGACTAAAGGTGTACACAGCAGTACATATAACAATATACACACGCTGCTAATGTTCAACTGAGAAAGAAACAGATTTATCTTTCCTCGTCCCCTGTGACAGCCGCCATGTAGACATTTTGAACACGTGGAGAATAATTATTTTACCTGGTTTAAACTCTAGATATGTATGACTTAAAAATATCAACAAATGCCTAGGTAGTTTGTTTTTCAATATAGTATCTTACATTGATACTTGTGAAGTGTTTCACTTTGAAAATTTTTTAAAATATTGTGTTGTCTGGCCGTTGGGCAGATTTGGTTTAACAAGGTTATCAATATAAGCTATAGTGAACTGAAACAGGTTGTACAAGGCAATTTTCCCTTTTGTGGTAGGTACAGTTTGTTTTAACTAAATACATAACACTGACAGTTTTGCAATTTTTCATACAATCTTCAATAAGAATGTTATTAAAATTGATTTTATAAAGTAACATAATAGCAACCTAAGCATTCTACCTTTCAAAATTATTATTTTATTCAAATCTAATATAAGTTTGATGACGAGGATTGTTTGTTTGTTTGTAATTAAGCACAAAGCTACACAATGGGCTATCTGTGCTCTGCTCACCACGATTATCGAAACCCGGTTTCTAGCGTTGTAAATTCGCAGACAAACCGCTGTGCCATTGGGGGGCTTGCTAACGAGGAACACACATTTGTGACTAATAAAGTTTGAGTACCCTGGTGGCACAGTTGTAAGTTTGCAGACTTACAATACTAAAATCCGGGGCTCGAGTTTCCGCGGTGGACACCGCAGAAAAACCAATATGGCTTTGCTATAAAACAAAGTTTGGAGATGAATGGCATGAATGGGTAAGGAATAAAACTTTATTAGAAGTTTAACACAGTGACAAATGTTAACGTTTGGACATGGTTTTATTATCATGAGATGCATGTAGGAAAAATAAAAGTCCTTGTATGTTTACTAATGAATTACTGTTTACACATATATATATATTATAGTTGCTGTATAAACTTACTGTTTAGAAAGATTAAGAAGTAGTACTATGTAAAAATTCACAAAATCACCGTATTTATATAGTTCGATACAATTACAATAATTTTTATTATTAGGCTATTGGTACCATTATGCTGTTTTATATACAGTTCTGTCTTTCAAGATACTTCAAGAAAATATTAATTTTCTTATAAATCCATATTTTGTTATGTTTTTCTTTTTATAGGAATAGTCGAATTTTCTTTTTTGAAGGGGGAAAGTAAAAAGTAAACACCTAAGGTTTGGTCTCGTGTTCAATTATTTACATATTGCATAAATGGTGAAATTTTGGAGAAAACTGTTGTTGTTTGTTATTAAGCACAAAGCTACACAAAGGGCCATCTGTGCTCTGCCTACCACGGGTATCGAAACGCGGTTTATGGAAGTATAAGTCCGCAGATATACCGCTGTGCCACTAGGGGGCGAGAAAAACTGAGTTCAACATGTCATTAAAAATTAGCTGGATGGAAACGCATATTTTAATATAAAAGCAACTTCAACCTACTTAACAAACTTTACGAATCAAAATAAAACAACTATACGATATGGTTGCAGTATTTCCGCCATTATCTCTTCTATATTTCTTTTGTTAAAGCTTCAGATTGGTAATTCGAAAATAGACCACAACCCATAAAATTATGTGTTTCAAATACTGAAAGAGCGAAACAAAATTAGGAGAAAAAAGTTTGGTTTAGGAAAATATGAAACGATTTTTTTTTTTGCAAAAGTAAAGATGTTTAGTATGAAGAAACACACCCATATTCGATAATATGAAACTTCTACCTTACTCATAGGGTATACGCAGCGACCGTTGCCTTGACAACCATTAGACTCGGCTTCACGTTTGGCATTAAATTTGGTGCTGTGCGTGTGATTTCACTTACCCAAACACGCGTACATTTAGATGTGGTAGCACGGATAACAAGCACATGCTTTTGAACACGTAAGTATAAGTAACTGAAATATGTGAATTTCTTATTTAAGTGCTGAAATAATATTTATCTCAACAAGAGAAAAATGTTTCTGTGACTCTTTTTAGTATTAATATTAGTTATATGTGCAGTGCTGTTGTTTTCTTAGTGTAAAACTACTACCCAATGGACTAAATGAACCTTGTTCATCACGTGGAATCGAACGCTGGTTTTTGGCGTTGTAAGTTCATAGATTTACCACTAACCCACTGCATACTTTCTCTGATAATACGTTTTTTTTTTGTATTTTTTATTTCGTACCGCATGATCATACAATTAGTCATAAAATACTTCGCCGGCACATCGGCATGTCTGCGGACTTACAACGCTAAAAACCAGGTTTCGATACCCGTGGTGGGCAGAGGACAGATAACCCATTGTGTAGCTTTGTGCTTAACCTCAAACAAAATAAGATTATTTTTGTTACTTTAATTTGATTTCCAAGTGATGATTTTTTAATAATGATAAAAAGCGAAAATATTTTTCAATGATTGTTTTTTTTTTTACTTTACAATTTCTAGTGTTTTAAATCCAGCTTTCTTCGTAATTTTGTAAAACATCAGAATAACAAAATTCCCAGCTAACGAACAACAAGATTCAGACATATATAATTTTCTACCTACAACTATTTTTTGGAATCAGTCTTTCTCTTGTCGTTTTTTTTTCATCTACCAAAAATTGAAAGTCGAGTAATAGCGGTTACTTTCATAAATTTGTATATATTGGATTTCCTTATTTTTATAGATACCATGGAAAGTGTCGAGGAAATAAGAACAATTAACCACCCATTCTTGCAAATTTTCATAATCTCCGACTTGCTATAAATTGTGTTTTGCATCTCTCAATCTCGAAGTAGCTTAATTTATGTATCTCAATTAATTTATAAACATCTGCCTTAAGGATAAATGAAAATAATTATATGACGTGCAGTTTTTAAGTGTAGAAGGTTACGTCATGTATGTGTGTGTATTGAGGGGCGGATGTTGGCATTTGTAGTCACGTGATACTTGTTATGTAAGCCTTATGAATCAAATTATGATGATCTCCTACACAGCTTCAACTCTGTGTTTTTTCTCCTTTCATTTGTTTACTTTTCTTGGTAACGAAATGTATCAAAATAGAAAACAAAGTATTGTTGCCCTTATTTAAAGATAAATATCTATTGTTAAGAGTACAGGAATGTAAATTGTTGTTCAGTTACATATACTTCGATCTTTTCAGTTTACCAGTGGTGAGAAATTAAGAGTGATGATAAATTATTAGTGGTGAGGAAAGATATAACATGTACAACACCTATATGTTGCAAATATATAACAATGTAAAAAATTCCAGCTACCACATAACAGTCAATCTGATTTTTAATTTTTATGTTTTTCGAAATGTATAGAACAAAAAAGGAGTTCGCGGTTAATTTTATTATGAAGCAACCATATTGTTTCACAACAGATACATGCATTAAGTTCAGGTAACGCGCCTCATCTTTCACGTCAGCTTTATTGATTGCAACCCAGCCAAGTACATCGTTGTACGTTAAGGGTTGACTTGGTAGACTCTAGGCATTTATTTTGTTTTTGTGATTCACCATGTTGTGAAGGTCATGTGACAGAATCTTATTTTATAAACAGGCGTGGCCTTTTCTCTAATAATTCATCATAAAAGGTTTAATTAGGGATGCGTCAAATATACAAGTTTCACGGTATTTCATATTTAGTCAAAATTTAAACTTCTTAAAAACAACAACAACAACAAAACAAAAAATACCACTCCAGACTAATTTTGCAGAGTTTCCAATAAAATACAGAAACTCGGATTTTAAAGTTATAATTATTTAATGTTTGAGGTAAGTAATACGTGTCAAAGCGCCACAGGTAGTAGACTATAGACCATGTTAAAAATATGTAATTTTTTATGTACTTCGGAGATGAAACCCACACTAATTTGCTTAATCCGTGTACATGCACATTAACTGACACCGAATTGACCTGAAAATGCTCGATCGTTTTTACTCTAAACAGAAGAAAGGTAAAATGAACGAAGCATTTTGTACATTCTGCGTGATTCTCTTAAGATATAAAATCAAATAGTGAAATAATTAATAAATGTCTATGTAGTCTGTACCTACGGTAAGGTTATGGCAGTTGAGTATCAATCATTGTCATGGTTAGTAGCCTATTCGATCACCTAAGCCTAATTATTAACTGATATTTTATATAATCAGATACTAATTACTGACTAGGTTTGTCTTACGTTTTGACTGCTATCTTCTTCAGGAAAGTCATAAGAAGGATTATTTCTCAGTTGGTAATAGTTGCGGGGATTCGATTCAGAGTCTTGTTGACATAAGTCTGGCGCGTTATTCACTCGATTTGAATCAACTACATTTATCAATGCTTTCAAGAGGGTAGTAATTACCTCTGTTTTAAGAGTTTATTTTTATGGCTCTGAAGAGAGAAGTAGAACCAGTGTTTCACCCCAGTGTTTTACATACTGTTCAAGCCCCAATTTCGTGAATGTATTATAGCATTTGACAGTTTAATATGCAATAGTAACATAGGGAGGAAGAAGTCTGAATAGAAACTTACCCTCCCAGATCGTGCACAACGACAAAATAGAGATTCAGACGGACAAATAGACTTTCAAGGTATCCAGGCTTTGCTGACCTCTATGCTAGGTTGACTGAGTATTTAATAGTTATGTGTACATAAAACATTTTTTTTTTTACTGAACTCTACCTTTTATTGGTATTTTTGTTTATTCAATGTTTTATAACCCACATGCAAAATGTATGTTGTAAATGGTATTGTTACGTCTCCGTTTGTTAATTGATTCTCCGTAAATTCGTACCGACGAAACTTTAGCAACACAAGT